TCCTAACAGATTCCCAGATCAGCTTTATGGAATATCTCTTCATTGGTTTATCATTCTAGTGTAGCACTCCATCTCTCTAGCAAAATAGATTAGGGGTCTTATTTCTAACTCGCAGCAACTTCCCCCAGTTCCATGATCCACTAACATTCACAGTCCAAAAATATCTACCTTTCAACTTGTAAGCCTGGATCCAAGCAACCCACAATGAGCCTTGCTGCATCATAACCGCCCATATCTGCCTATAGACACAAGCATAATTCCAGGAAACGAGATCCCTCAAACCCTGTCCTCCTTCTTTTTTTGGGATTGGCAGATACTTCCATGCCATCTTTGCTTTAAGCTTGAGACTAGGACCAACAGACCAGAGAAAATTACTACATATTCTCTCAACCTCACAAAGAACAGTCTTTGGGAGCATAAAAACACTCATCCAGTATTGTGGCATGCTATATAAAATAGACCCAACAAGCTCCACTCTACCTACATAGCTCAGGGATTTAGCCTTCCAACCCTGCACCCTACTTGTGATTTTATCAATTAAAGGTTTGCAAGCATTTACTGTAAGCTTTCCAGCCACAAGAGGAACCCCAAGATAGCGCACTGGGAAACCCCCTAGTTGATACCCATACCTTTTAGCTCTTTCTACCATCTCCTCCTTCTCCAACCCTCCAAAAAATATTTCACACTTGCTTGGGTTGGATTGAAGCCCTGAGAGCTTATGAAACACGCTCAGAACCCTTTGTACAATCTGAATACCATAGTTAGACCCATCAGAAAAGACCAATAGATCGTCAGGAAGCATAAATGGGTCAGTCCAATTCTCTTACACATAGGGTGATAGGGAAATCTGCCCCTTTCAGCTTCCAAATCCAAGAGACAAGAAAATACCTCCATAGCTACAACAAACAAGTATGAGAAGAGGGGATCTCCCTGCCTCAGACCTTGCTTTGCAGAAAAATAACCCACCAGACCCCATTAAAAGCAATACTGAGCATTGGACTAGATACACACATCCTAATCTAGCTAATAAACTGTATAGGGACTCTCATAGCTTCCAGCACCACATAAAGAAACTGCCAGCTTACTGAGTCAAATGATTTCATAAGGTCAATTTTAAGACCTGATCTAGTAGAGATATTCTTCCTAGAATACTTATGCACTAACTCATGAGCTAAGAGGATGTTTTCTCCAATTACCCTCCCCTTCACAAACGCTGTCTGATTCTTACTGATAACAAGAGGGAGGAGAGAGCTAAACCTATTTGCCACAATCTTAGAGATGCATTTATAAACTAAGTTGCAACAAGAAATAGGCTTGAAAAACTTCATCTCATCCGGATTTTGGATTTTAGGAATCAAGGCAAGAATTGTAGCATTTACCTCTCTTGGAATCTTCCCAGTCATAAAACAGTTCTGAATAGCATTGTGATTTCAGCCCCAACAACACCCCAAGAAGCCTGAAATAATCTGACATTAAAACCATATGGTCCCGGGCTCTTATCTCCATTGAAACCAAACATAACTTCTTTAACTTCAGTAGCAGTAATAGGAGCACAGATAGAGGAAACCTGCTTAGAGTTAAGCTTATGTATGAGGAGACCCTGAAAAACTCTACTGATTCAATCACAACATGTGGATTTTCTCTTCCCAACAGAGCCTTATAAAATTCAATAGCCACATTGCACATGCCTTCAACTGATTCAACTGAATTACCCTGAGCATCTTTAAGAGAAGTGATTGTGTTTCTCTTTAATCTAGTTCTCATAGATCTATGGAAGTACCCTGAGTTTGAATCCCCTACCCTTAGCCACAGCTCTCTTGATTTCTACCTCAGAAAAATTTCCTCAGCTTTAAGCAACTCAAAAAGTTCTTTTGAAACCCTAACTTCAATCTCAAAGCTCACTTGGGAGGATTTGTAAGGGCTGACACTTGAATTGATTCCAGTTCTCTTTCCTTAGCTTTCACCCTTCCCCTAATATCAGAGAATTCCTCCTTGTTAAGTTTCTTGAGCAAACCTTTTAGTATCCTAAGCTTTTTATATACCCTGATCAGAGGAGAGCCTGTCACAACCTTCCTCCATGCCTGATTAAGTAGCTCTGCAAACATTGGGTGCTCAAGCCAAAAGTTAAAAAACTTAAACGGCTTAGGCAGAGACTTCAATGGTAGCTCAGTTTGAATAAATACAGGGCAATGATCTGAGACTCCTGGAGACTGTGTGTGCACAACATTATGTTTCATCACATCCAACCATTCCACATTAATAAATACCCTATCTAATCTTCTAGCAATAAGATCATTTTGCCTCTTGTTGAGCCATGTGAACCATGGCCCTGTAGATTTATGCTCTTCAACCTCAATGTCTCTTAACCAGTCATTAAAACTCTTCATACTAGTAGAATACTGAGGGGCGTTTGAACCTTCACTTGGATCTCGAATAGCATTATAATCCCCAACAAGCAACCAGGGGAAGTTGACTACTTTTAATCTAGAAACAGCAGCATAAAGTTCTTCCCTCGGTCCCTCACTGTTTGAAGCATACACAAACGTAGCAAAAAAATGGATCCTTACCACCAACCAGTATATGTACATACTGATCAGAACTGTCTATGATTGTCAGCTGGATCTCCGAGTGCCAAACTAACCAAATTTTACCCAAACCTTCACCATTGAAGAAGACTTCCTGTCCCCAGCCAACAAATCTCTTACCCTTCAGTTTCCTTGTTTCCATTCTACTTACCCGAGGCTCCAGTATAGCTACAATATCTAAACTATATTTATTTACCTTATTTAATATAGCTGTGAACTTTTTCTCCGCTACAAACCCTCTTGTGTTCCATGAGAGAAGCTTCATTTACGACCCCTTCCTCTCCCTCCACCCTTCCCCCCTTTTCTTTTGTTGTCTCTTACATCAGGAGGTTCAATCCAAATCTTCTTACCCTTATCAGGAGCACTCGGAGGAATTCTATTCTCTTTGTCAAGAATGGAAAATTGGGATCCGGTCTGAACAGCCCGAGTAGTCATCTGTGACAGCAAGCTCCCTTCCGCAGAAGGTGACTGACCACCAACAAACGATAGCAAAGGTGTGTTAGGGCTCCCAGCAATAGCTGATGACCCCTTCACCACCTCAGCAAAACTGACTCGAGCCCCCCCATTTGATGCAGGGGAGACGTCATCCCCAACCTTTGGAATCTCCTCTGGACTGCGCTCTGGCGATCGCTGCCCTATAGAAGAGATTTCAGTCCCAACATTTTGAACCTGCTATGGATTCCCCTCAGACGATCTCTGCTCAATTACCTCATCAGCCAAGCTTTCCATAACACATTGAATAACAGACTCCTGTACATGTTTAAGTATATCCTCAATTGAGCCATTCCCTATATTCTCATCATCCTTATCCTGAGCCACTGATTCATCCATCCCTTTGTTCGTAGACACCTTAGGAACCCAAACCCTTTGAGGATCCTCCTCGCAATTATGCCCGAAGACACAACACTTAGAACACACCTTCGGAAGATTACTATACTCAATTCTGATTTCAAAAGAGGGATCCTCATCTAGATAAATCCTAATGGAAGAGGGAAATGAGTAGTCAGCAGCAAGCTCAACACAAGCCCGAGCGAACCCTAACTGACCTCCCACTCTCGTCTTCTAATCCATCCAAAATGGCCTCCCAATCATGCTCGTCACCCACTCCAACCCTTCGGGGGGCAAGATATTCTAATGGAAGGCCCCAGATCCTTACCCAGATAGGCAACGTCTCAACTTTCGGGACAATCGACTGTATACCTGCTTTCCATTTCCGAAAGAAAATCGGGTTACCTCTGAAGTGCCAAGGCCTTGACTGGAAGACCCAATTGCACGCAGCAGCAGAAGGAAATTGAAACACCAGGAGCTTGTTCCCAAACTTCGACACTCTGACAATGCCATCGCGCACCCAGAGTGCATTCGCCCAGGACTGCAGCTCCGGTATCTTCGGCCTAGTCCCAACGAACTGACCGATAAGCGAATTCTTCCACCGCTCCGCTCCTTTCTCCTTCACCTCCTTCGGAAGGCGGAATCCATCTTGAAATTTGATCGGCGGCCGATATTGGAGCCGATTCTCCGGAACAACCTCGAACAGTTGCGCCCAGGAACTGCCCTCGCCAGCCGGAGCAGCCGACGAGGAGGCTGACATCGGAAACCCTAGACACCCGAGAGAAGAGAGAGATAAAAAATGATTAATATTATTAATATTTTGATATATTACAAAATATTTGACTAATTATTAATAATCGACTAATTTTGAGTAATAAGAAAGAATGCCGAAAAGATTTGGCTAATAATTAATCTTTGAAAAATAAAACAAACGTTGGCCAACACAACAGACGGAAGCACCTGCCTACGGCCTACCGTTGTCCGTTACCGTCCAACTCCATCTCTCTCTAACACCCACCTCGACTCATATATGTAGTCGCATTCACTCCAGCATTATTATTCATTACATTGGAAAATAATACCAAAAACGAAGTCCAGTTACGTATTAGCTAACAATTGAAAAATTACGTATTAGCTGTAAAATTATTAACCTGATATTCAGTCACTTCACGCAAAAGAAAAAACAAAAAATCGCCATTTAGTGCCCTCATTAGTCTCTCCTGATTGCCAAAATTAATCTGATACTCATCTAAAAATTGACAAAAAGCCGACATTAATCGAATCCCCTTTCTGCATCTTCTCCCCTGCCTGCCTCTCGCAGTCTCCCTCCGTCCCTCCCTATTTCTCATTCACTAGTAATTATCGTCTCGATTCCGCCAATCCAATTCTTCTGTACTTGCATCGAATCTTGGGAGCTATCCATCTTCCTCTTTGGCCTGCGGCCTCGGAGGCATAGCTCAGCAAACCACTCTCGTATTTTGGATTTTTCTCTCTCGCCGCCGAGCCGGGACTTGTTTGTTTTTGTCGTTTTACTAGGGTTTATTCTTCTTCCTCCTCCCTATCGAGCTTGGTTAAGCATCAGCAGCCATGGCGGCTCAGGGAACAGGAGGGAGGGGAGGCAGGGTTGTCGGGGACTACATGGTGGGTCGGCAAATCGGGTCGGGTTCTTTCTCTGTGGTCTGGCTTGCTAGGCACCGGGTGCATGGCACAGAAGTGGCGATAAAGGAGATTGTCACGGGTAGACTTAATAAGAAGCTGCAGGACAGTCTCATGTCGGAGATCTTCATCTTGAAGCGGATTAATCATCCTAACATAATTTGCCTTCACGACATTATCGAGGTTCGTTTACGTTTTCTCTTCTCTTGCCTGATTTGAATGGCGAATTTTTGTTTCGGGGAAATGATTTGTTTGTTTGACTTTTTGGGGAAGGTTCTGTGTTCTTTGTCCCTGGCTTATCCAGTTGTATTTTTGGAATGGCAAGCTTCCCGTGGAGTTTGTTAACGCCGATTACGAATTAGCTCGTCTTCCTCAGCCAAGTTCAGTTTCTGGTTGGCTGAGAGAGCCATAGGAAATGACACATTGTTTTTAGTTCCCAGGAATTGATGTAGGCATCGTTGCAGTAGTTACAGCATTAACTATAACTGCAATTATACCTAATTTTGCTCTTACTCTCTGAATATTTGCCATCGTGAAATAGGTTCCCGGTAGGATACACATTGTATTGGAATACTGCAGAGGGGGCGATCTATCTATGTATATCCAACGCCATGGAAGAGTGCCAGAAGCACTTGCTAAGCATTTTATGCAACAATTAGGTACGTTTCATGTCTAGTTGCTTTCGGCTAGCTCGTAGTTTCCAGGCGTGATGATATGTGATGAGAATTCCCCTTTCTGCAGCTGCTGGCCTGCAACTTCTCCGTGATAATAATCTCATACATAGGGATTTAAAACCACAGGTATCATATAAACCCATATCTATTATTTTCCGGCTTGAAGTCTGGAGTCATGGCTATAGTGTTTTTCGACTGTGTCCGGTAGAGCTGTGTGCTTGTCTATCTTTTGATCATGTGTACTTAAATCTTGCTTCAGAATCTCCTGCTGTCCACCAATGACAACAATGCCATACTAAAAATTGCAGATTTTGGGTTTGCTAGGTAATTTCTATCACAATATTCCCTTTCCAATTTTGAATCACTTCTTGCTCTTCTGATTCTTCAGTTTTGGATTTTTATTTTATGGTCCAGATCTCTTCAACCAAGAGGCGTTGCTGAAACGTTGTGCGGTTCACCACTTTACATGGCTCCAGAAATAATGCAACTTCAGAAGTATGATGCAAAGGTGACGTTTGCTTTCACATTGGATGTGGCGTGTTTTGTTAAGTGAGGAGGGTAAGCATTAATCTTGAACTGGACACGCAGGCAGATCTCTGGAGCGTTGGTGCCATCTTATTCCAACTTGTGACTGGGAAAACCCCATTCACTGGGAGCAACCAAATGCAGGTATGATTATCTTCTCTTTGTATCGAGGTTGCATACTAAAAAGCCCTGCTATAGATGGTCAAAATAAGATCATGCAGCTTTCCTGGTGATAATCACTACTCTTTATCTGTTACACAGTTACTCCAGAATATCATGAAATCGACTGAATTGCAATTTCCACCAGAAGTTAAGTTGAGTGCTGAGTGCAGAGACTTATGCCACAGATTGCTGCGTCGAAATCCAGGTATCCCATCCTTACCAATTTGAATGGGAAATACCTTCTCATGATTTCTGAAAGAGCAACATATTGCACCAAGTCTTATTTGGTATACATGGAAAACATTCCCTGTTAAATTCAATCTTTTATCTAAAATTTAGCAGATTTAGTGGTGTAAGCAACACTGGAGTAATTACTGTTTTGGGGACTATTTTTGAAAGTACAGATAGAGTACCATTTAATAATTATCTTGATCTTTTATCTAAAATTTAGCAGATTTAATATATATCTTGATCTTTAGGAAACTTTATAGTCTACTTTGCATTTGTAACTGAGCTTCACCTTTGTATATTCAGTGGAACGGTTGACATTTGAGGAGTTCTTTAACCACCCATTTCTTTCTCAGAGGAGAGCTGATGAACCATTGAGGTATCTCTTGTAGAAGTTCAGTACCTGACCTTAATAAATCTCTCCTCTCAGCTTCTAAAGCACCGAAGTTTTTGCAGGGCTCAGAGGCCTTCAAGATTTGCAGATGGCTTCTCGTCGTCTGAAACTAATGCCATTGGAAGAGGCAGTCCTCAGGAGGATTGTCTGCCATTTTTTCTGGACGATGATTCTAGTGGTCCTGATAGGAATCCTTCTTTCTCTACTAGGAAGCCATCAATCAAGACCACTTATGGATTTTCTCTTGATGCTAGAAATGATGGAAGGGATGCGACATCTAATGCCTTACATGATGTAGATATTATAGCATCAAGACATGTCTCAGTCAGACACCAGTCTGGAAATTCAATAGCTAGGCCCACTATCAATAAACTTTTGGATGAAAATCAAAGTGAAACTCCAAAGACTACAGCATCAAAGCCAGTGAGCATCATCAGACCGAGAGGTAACCAAGACATGTCTAGTGCCTTGGCTTACCATTATCACTGTGCAGCACAGTATTGCCTAGCAATCATTTCATTTCTGTTTTTCTAACATATCTTATGGTTCATGCAGTCATGGATTCTCTAGAGTCAATTGATCAAGATTATGTTTTGGTTTCTGGACCACCTTTGGATGTGTCTTCTTCTTTGGCTGGCAATTCCAAACCTAGCCAAATACCTTTTAGGTCTGAGAGTGCCCCTCTAACATCTGTTCATTTAGTACCAACAACAAGTGCTCCTGTCCCTATAGTTGTTCCTAGCAATCCCACTAGGCTTGCCCGCAATGCAAGCATCGATAGTCCAGGCTCTGCTCCTGGCACTTCTCAAGGATCTACTGATATAGGTGACGCTCTAGAGCAGCCATCACCTGACTGCACGACCAGGATAAAGTCTTTGAAGCAGTGCGCATCAACCATAACAGAACTTGTCCAAGAAAAGGTATGATGTTCTACCTGTCCTCTTATCATGGGTCTGTTAGGCTCCGTTTAATTTAACCATTATGAGATCACTTGGAGAAGTTGTCGGCTGGAGCATATATTAGAAATGGAAGTGTGAAAAAATTATTGAAATAGATGAGTGATGGTGAAATGATTCGGTAGGCTCACAATTTGTATACTATTTTAGAGTAGATTACATTATTGAAGTACGTGAGTGGTGTGGAATAACTTGGCCACTGAAGCTTTGAGTTATAGAAGAGAAACGGGTTGAATTGAAAATGCAGAACCAAGAAAGTAAATATGGGTCCATATCATCTTAAAATTTGATCTTAAAGGCAGAAGTTAGAAGTTGGTTATTTAATCAACTGATGACAACTGACTGCAATCTAGTGGAGATGGTCTATGAAAATCAGTAGCCCTACAGTGAGTTCTGAAATCAATGAGGTCTTTTCCTAGAAGCGTAGTACTGCTTTCTGATCAGCACTTTGTGGTTGAATAGATCGAAGGGGGCAGACATTTGGAAGCATTCTCAATTCAGCTTGTCATACTTGCAATTTGGAAGCAAGCCCTGCATATATGCCATGCTCAGGCTGCTTCAGCCATTGAAGGAAGTCCAAGCCAGGAAAGCATAAGATTGATGAGGAGAAGCAACAGTAAGATTAAACATGGTACATCAGAGATGGAATGTTGTTCTGATGATATTGGGCCAGAGACAATCACCACTCAAATTGAGAGAGAATTTCTCCGGGAGGTTGAGCATGCTGAGGAACTTGCCAATGCTATTGAACCTGGTATGCTTTGATTATTAACAAAAGAAAGTGTTATGCACAGCTGCAGTTTTCCCAATTTACCTCAATAACCTGGAACTGTTCATACACATGCATACGTTGTGCTCTTTTATTTTTACAGTTTTCGGATCATCAACATCTCTTCCTGTTTTAATGAGTTGCTCAATACTTGTTCACCTGCACGAATATATGTAGAGACTGTTGTAGATAGGAAACTGTTTGCGTTTAATGGTTTGCGAAAGGCATTGGAGCATTTGGTTGAACTTTTCTAAATATCAAAATGATGCTAAATGACTAAAAGGACGATATATAAGAATAAAAATTTGAAACATAGTTTATACGAATATTGTTGAACATCGTGTACGTGTGTATTATTAAGTAGTTAATTTTAGTTTAAAAATAGTGTCGATGTGAGAAATTATCCAGAAGCCAGCTCTGGTACAGCTTTTCGTTTGGAGCTTCTGCTTGTGATGTAATTATCCAGAAGCCAGCTTCTAAAAAACTCATTGAGTTTCACTATTTGTGCTTCTGAGAAAGAAAAGCTCCTAGAAAAGCGCTGGGGAAAGATACATGATGAAGGGCTAGTTGGGCTGTTCAGCATGGCAGTAATAGTTTAAACGTGAAGGGATGTCGTAGTTTGTTTATTTAATGTTGGGGTCAAGCTCAAGCATACACTTCTTATTTTATGGAGTCAAGCTCAAGCATACACTTCTTAAGTTCACACAACTGTTAATGTACCATGGGTTAATGCAGGAAGTATAGAGATGCCAGATGCGCTGGAGACGATTTTCCAGTCTGCCTTGGCTCTAGGAAGAAATGGAGGGGTGAGTTACTATTTTCACTGTGATCTGAGTTTTAACATTGGAGAGAGGTTGGTTTAATTCGATTCGATTCCAAGAATTAAAGAATAATGGTGTTTGAAGATTAGTGTCTTATGATGATGATGATGATGATGTCTTGAGCAGGTAGATGAGCTAATGGGAGACATGGAAAGCGCAAGTTTGTTGTATTCGAAAGCAGTGAGGTTGCTAGAGTTCCTTCTAGTTGAAGCACCTTCACTCATTCTGAACCCTCCATTTTCACTCACAAACTCGGACCGGTTCAGGCTTCGCAGTTACATCGACATCCTCAACAATAGGCAGGGATACTCTCATTCTCAAAGGATGGCCCTTCTGAAGTGCGATTCGGACCAGCCGTCATAGATTAACAACAAAAAGTAGTTCACCCGGCCTCCTCTGTCGGGACAGATCCCTGTTCTTTACCATATGTAAATTCTTTGTTTGTACAGCCAGCCATTATTCTTTTCAGGTGGATTCAGCACAAGTCTGGATTCTGTCGAGTCCGCAGGAGGAGGGTGTTGTAATATACACATACAAACACTGATTTGTGAAAGCGTGTGATGATGAAGAAAAAAAGCAAGATGTGAGAGAGATAGAGAGAGAGAAAAAGAAAAGAAAAGAAGGAAGGACTTGCAGATGGAAGATTATTTGTGGTGTGGAAAGTATGAACCTTGGGGCTCTTTAGTAAAATGTCCGTCAAGAGTAGCTGGGTAGTTCCCATTCCCATGTGAAGAGTTGTGAATGTGAACACAGTACCTTAGTCCGAGGAATTGATTGCATCGTGTTTGAAAGGTTTTCACAGTTCTAATCTTCGTCAAGTGTTTTTCTAGGGCAAGGCCTGTAGGCCGTTAGTCTGAAATTTCAAAACTTGCTAGAGGGAAGTATCGTGAAGCTTTGGTACCTGCATTGAATCCCAAGGGCATGCTGCCATGCTCACTAGTAAAATTGTTTCGAATGGTCGTGGTAACGTAAGAAAAAAAATTCCTTAAGAAAACAACCATGTCGTTTGCTAACAAACAAAAAATTGAAAACCGAAAATTGGTTTAGCTGGAATTCTTCGTGAATTTTGAAATTGAGACTTGAGTCGTGGCATATTGTTTGAGATCCGAACAAAAGCTGAATGAATAATAAAAGAGAGTAGACAAATAATAGAATTTTATTTCATTAAAAAAGAAATTAAGCAAACTCTCTTCTCTCTCCGTTTTCTCTGAATCCTAGATCGTGAAATTGGCGATGGTGGCCGTCACTAACGGTGCGGCAGCCGTCAGTGACGGTCGTTCTTGGGTTTCTTTGTTTGGAATTCCGGAAGATAATCGCCTCGACTACTATGAGCCTGAGTATGTGAATGGCTCGCTCAGAATTCCAAGGGAGGTGGTAGAGGAAGGTTCGAAGCGTTGGGAGAATAGCTTGGTTGGTCAATTTATCGATCGTCTAGCTTCACTAGCATTAATCCGGTACTGGGCGAACTGGCTATGGGTAAGGATGGTGAAGTACGAGTCTCGGGGCTGGGGCGCCGACTGGTATTATTTCAATTTGCGAATGCAGAGATTTACCAGTGGGTGTTTGAGAATGGTCCTTGGCACCATAGGGAAAATCTACTGTTCTTTCGTAAATGGGAGCCTGGTATCAGTCCGCTGAAGCTTTATAACTCTGCACTGGCGATTTAAATCAAGCTTTCTCATCTGCCGACAGAGCTTACATCCAAAGAAGGTCTGGGTAGGGTTGCAAGTTCCCTGGCTCGGCCTCTCTGTATGGATAGGTCAACTACCCAAGGTAGGAAGGTTGGCTTCGTTCAGATTTGTGTTGAGGTAAATGCAGCAACGAATAAGGTAACTAAATTGAGTGTCACGCCTGATGGGTTATCTGAAATTTTCATTGATGTTGAATACTACCATATGCCTAAAGTCTGTGACAAGTGTAATTGCTTTGGCCATACTTGTGCCAAAACCTCTGATCCTATTACAAAAGTTTGGGTGAAGAAGGTGCTAGTTATCGGTGAGGCTCCAGAAGTGTTGGAAGGTACAGTACAAATGGTTGCGGTTCAGACTGAAGATGAAACTCTAGCAGGACGTTCAGAAGTGGGGAAAGAGGCTGACCATGAGAAAGGTAAAGAGGTGGTAATTGTCCTTGATGAAGTTGTAGTGGGAAGGGTGGCTGAGCAGCCATTTGTGTTATAAAAAACTCCATCCCCTCGAGGTGGAATAGTGGATTCTCAGGGGCACTCTAGTTATGAGCAGAAAGTATGGGTAGGGTCAGGGTCTAACAGCCTAGGGCAGCAGTCCAATCCTAGCCAGACAAGGAATAGAAGTACTCGAGCTATTTTTGTTCCTCCTTCTCCTCCTCCTCCTCCTCCTCCAAAAGGAAGAGGGAGAGGGAAGAAACGGGGTAAATGAAGATTCTTAGCTGGAATATCGGGGGATTTAATGATCCTGATAAACACTCAGCTGTTCTTGAACAGTTGAGGCTGAAGCACATAGATATAGTAGGCCTGTTAGAAACAAGGGTGCAGGAAGAAAATTGCAATAAAATAACAGCATGTGTGTTTTCTGCCTGGAAACATTTAGCTAACTATTAAAAATCTCAGTCTGGAAGGGTGTGGATTTTCTGGAAGTGGAGCATTTTATTCAGATATTGGTTGAAGATAGTAAGTCGTTTATGGTTGTGTTTGTTTATAGCCCAAACAAGGAAGCTGAAAGGAAAATGCTCTACCAGGAGCTTATGCTTAGGAAGGATAATAGTATTCCGATGGTGTTGCTTGGTGACTTTAATGAAATAGCTAAGGTAAATGAAGCATCCAATGCTCAACAAATCACTCACAATATGCAGGATTTTCGAAGCTGGTTGGGAAATATGGAGTTGGTGGATAATAAGGTAGCAAGGACATGGTTTACTTGGTGGAATCGACAAAGAAATAATCCTATTGCTCGTCGGATTGATTGAATTGCTATGAATGAAGCTTGGCTAGAAAACTTCCCAGATAGTTCATCCCATACTAATCCTCCTGGGTCTCTGACCATTGTGGGTTGATTCTAAATACTTCCCCAAACCCGAGAACACTTTCTAAGCCTTTTAAATACTTCACACTCTGGCAATCTCATCCTACTTATTTGGACATTATCAAGACAGCATGGCAGAAACAAGTTACTGGTTGCCCCTACTATATATTTTATGGAAAGATGCAGCAAGGAAAGCTAGGGTTGAAGGGTCTGAATCGTGTAGAATACTCTGAGAACTCTAGTAGAGTAAAAGAAACAGCAGCGGAATTGAAAAAATGTTCAGATGGCAGTGCTTACTAATCCTACTGAGGAGTATATTGATGAAGAAAAGAGGGTTAGTCAGGTTTACATGGCATTAAAAAAAGCGGAGGAGCTATTCTATAAGCAGAAGTCACGGGTTCAGGTTATTAAAGAGGGGGATTCTAATACTTCTTTTTTCCACAAAACTGTCAAGGTCAAGACTCAAAGGCAGCAGATAATTCGCATGTTGAATGAGCAAGGGGAGGTAACAACAGATATTAAGGAAATTGGTGAAGTTGCAGTGGAGTTTTATACAAAGCTCATTGGCACTAAGGATTTGAATGTTGAGCAACATTATGTGGGTTTTTATCAAGATCTTTTGAAGCACAAGCTTTCAGTTGATGAACAGGCGCTACTAATGTCTGGTATCTCTAGGGCTCAAGTAAAGCAAGCATTCCTGAAGCTTGAGAAGGATAAGGCTCCAGGGCATGATGGATTCCCTGCTAAGTTCTTTACAACTCACTGGGACATTGTTGGAGGGAAGTTGAGGAGATAACTCTGGACTTCTTTTCTACTGGTTTTATGCCATATATAGTGAATAGTACTATCTATACCTTGGTAGCTAAGATCCCTAGTGTTGAAAAAATGAAAGATTTAAGACCTATTGCTTGTTGCAACATTATTTACAAAGGAATCTCGAAAATACTGGCAAATAGGCTTGCATTGCATTAGTCCTTTCTAGTGTTATCAGTAGACCACAAAGTGCCTTTATCAAGGGTAGAGCTATAAGTGATAACATTCTGCTTGTATCTGAAATGGTGAAGGACTATCATCAAAAGAACATAACACCAAGATGTGTGGTTAAGATTGACATAATGAAAGCATTTGATTCTGTAAATTGGGAATTTCTTTTTACGGTTATGGAGGCTATGGGATTTCCTGCTGGGTATTTAAAGCTGCTGTCTCCTTGTGTCACTACACCAACAATAAAAGTGTCTGTTAATGGAGGTCTGTGTGGTAATAGTCGGGCTTGCAAAGGACTAAGACAGGGAGATCCATTGTCTCCCTATCTTTTTACCATTGCCATGGAAATCCTGGATTGTTTGGCAAGTAAGGCAGTTTAGGACAACCAAATTCCTTTCCACCCTAGATGTAAACCTCTTCAGATTACACACTTATGCTTCGCAGATGACTTGATGATGTTCGCGAATGGCTCTATTAGAGGTGTGGCAGGTATAAGAAGGCTAATGCACTGGTTCTATAAGCTGTCAGGGTTGAAGTGTAATGCTTCGAAATGCCAGCTGTATTGTGCAGGGATATCACAGGGTGAGAAACAAATGATTCACTGAGTTTCCACTTGGTGACCTACTTGTTAAATACCTTGGTGTCCCCCTTATATCTGGGAAACTTATACTACAGGACTGTCAAGTTCTTATTGGCAAGATAACACAGAGGCTTTGTAGCTGGAGATCCAAACTATTAAGTTACGCAGGCAAAATTCAACTTATCTCCACTGTGATTACAAGCACACTACAGTATTGGCTTAACATTTTCCTTATGCCTCAGTACATTATAAAGGATGTTGAGCGCTTGTCTAATGAGTTTCTGTGGGTATCTGCTGAGAACGGGACTAGAAAGAGAGCTGTCATGTCTTGGGACAAGTTGGCACTGCCTAGGAAGGAGGGAGGAATGGGAATTCGCAATTTTAGCTTACCCCTTCATCTCTGGCAGTGCTCTCACGTGCTTTGAAGGGGGAAAAGATGCAGAAGTACTCAGTCATTAGGGTATGGAATGCTATTCGAGTTCATGAACAGAAAGTGCCTTGGTGGAATCTTGTTTGGGCTAAGGAGATTATTCCAAAACATGGCTTCATTCTCTGGTTAGCTCTACGTGATAAGCTAGTTACACAGGACAAGCTTCTAGCATGGGGGAAACCAGTAACATGTCAATGTTTGCTATATCCAGGAGGTGTTGAGATTAGTGATCATCTCTCGGTCTCATGTTCTTATACAGGTTGGGTGATGAAGCAATGCTTGAAGTGTCTATCTCCTCCTGTTGTAGGGGATTGCGAAAGTATGGTTGCTTGGTGTGTGCAACATTGGAAGGGGAAGAAGCCAATGCAAGGTTTACGCAAGCTAGTTTGGAGTACTCTCATCTACCATGTCTGGAGAGAGCGTTGTACGCGTTTATATGGAGCAAAGACAACTAGAAGCCCACAGGAGTTAGTGAAAGTGATAAATACAGATGTCTTGTATCGTGTTTCTAGGGATCTAATTCTCCAGGCTGAGTTGGAACATATTGATAGTTTATAGTGATATACTCATAGATAGTATTGTAGTAACTTTGATTACAGGTTGTAAAGGTTTGACAGGCTCATTAGGTTTTTTCTGATGTTAGCCAGAGCTTAATGGAAGTGTTTTGATTTCGAATAAAAAAAAAGAAATCAGATAGATGTTTAAATTTCTAGTGACATTTTGAAATCAAATAATAAGGGAAAATTGTTTATAATAAACAAAAATAAAATAAAATATAAGAACTAACAAAATTGTGAGTCATGTCATTCGAACATTCCACCTTATTAATAAAATGTGTTATTTTTTCGTTAAAAATATGAGAAGATAAATGTTGAAAAATTTGCGAAACAACAAAAAGCTACCCTTTTGTGGGGGTGCATAACCCTTGGTTATGGGTTATGCATTTGTACATAACCACATTTGGTCTACTAGTTTTGTGCAAGGTCAGATCTAAAGAGTGAAATTAAATAGTTTTTTTTTTAATTTTTGTTATATTTTAATCAGCTTGTATCTTTGTTTTGACTTGAATTTTAATTTTTTTGCACATGTGGAATGATTTTATTTTCGATATAGGTTCATCAAGATTTATTGTGATCTACAAATTTCCAGCAAAATATTTTAGATGACCAAATATAGTATACCACACTATACCACCTTGGATAGGGTGGTAACTTGTGCTAGACTATGGTGAAAAGTGTTAAATGGTGGTTAGTAAATTGCTACTATCATGCATATAATATTATGCTATATTCATACCACCATGATATAATTTTATTTACTACCAAACATCACCACCATGGTATAGAGTAGTAATATATTTCTCAATTTGTCTTGTTACTCCTTATTCTAATAAGTAGATTAACACACCGCTTGGAATTAAATGAAATAAGAATTCATTTTATTTTAAAATAAATTCGAGTGTAGAATACATTGTTTTCTTATATTGGAATGTCATATTTAAATCAATAGAAATAAATTGAATTGAATTCCCAAATTATGTTTGGAATACTTTCAGAATTGAATTAAATTAAAACTTTCCAACTATATCCTTGTCAATTTCCTGCCTAAACAACATTGTTATTACTACTCATTGAAAACACATCTTCTAAAAATGCAAATGCCCAAGTTATCATCCAACAAATCCAACAAAGCAAAAAAAAAAAAAAAAAAAGATAAATTAGCAGTAGCAGCCTTGTAGGTTAGATTGAAATGGGGAGAGTCGGTCGGAAAGCACAAAAATAAAATATGAGCCAAACGATGATTATATATTAGGTTAAGTACCCGACTGAACAAAGAAGGTTAGACGTGAAAATCTGGAGTATTTGTGCCAAATTATATATAGGAGTAATTTACTTAATAAATGATTATAATTATGCCATTTATAATAATTACTAAAATACTTGTGGATCATTTGAAAATTCTACCTCATGTTTTTGGGATTGCTAAAATGAGTCTCAATTCTGGAGAATTCAAACGTTAGAATTAAAAATAAATTCCTTTACATTACAAACACAAAAGAATTTAATTTCTAAATGAATTTCTAAAACCTTATGAAATCCATTTATACTTGTTAGATATTTACTAAGCTAAATTGGCTTCCTCCAACCCTACAGGCTTTCAAATTTAGTTTACCACCATTTTTAAAATCTATCTCAGTAAAATCATATTGATTTGCATGCTGATTTTTATTTTTACTCAGAATTTTTATAGTTCATTACTATTTTTGGAAACAAAATCTTCAATGTACTTTTTTTAAAAAATTCATAGGAAAGATTTTTTTCTATAAATATTTGTTAATTCATTACCATTACTTCAAAATGACTAAATTCTTGTTTCGCATTTCGTTTATTAAATTGTATGCTGGTTTCTTACACATAACATATACAAATATGATTGCTGCAATGTGACCATTTTTTCGTCAATATATCCATCTCTTCCATTAATTTCAAAAGAATAAATCTTACAATTTCATTCAATAAAAATTAACAAGAAATAGAGTTGAAAAGAGAAATGAGACCGTATCATCGGATACCCACACGCAAAGATGGGGACTAGGCCGCACGCCTAAGGGAAGGAGGCTTCCCCACACTTATGCTGCCCAGTCCCTGCTTCTCGACTGTAGGACTTGGGTGTTGGATCCCCATCTCTCTTTTTTAGCCCCACTTATAACACACTTGCCTTTCGGCTACCCCTCTCTCTTTTCTTTCCCAAATCTCCAATTTGGAGTTCTATGTTTAGGGTAATGTCTATTTTTTTTATCCAACCCCTTTTTCAGATTCTTTTATATTATTCAAACTTATTAAAATGCTATTAATTAGCCAAATCTTTCGTAATGCATCAAAACATTAGCTATTTTTACTTTATCATTAATAATTTTGTAACTCTTTTCTTAGTTAAAATACTAAAATATTGGAATGCTCACCTTCACGTGTCTCTTCCTAATCAGTATCATGTTGCCAAGTCAATATTACTAACAAAATTGCTTACTGAACGTTAACATTTGTCTAATTCTTAGTATTTTGATAGTTTGGATAATAAAAAAGAATCTGAAAAAGGTTTGGCTAATAAATAGTCATTACCCTTCTTTTGCAATGATTGATTTCCATTCCTAAAACGGTAAGAGTACAAGCTAAACCACATTACAACATATGCTCAATAATACCAAGCACTTCTATCTAATCATGGTGAAGTGATTCCTTTCTCGCTTCCTTTGCCACCCAATAAGCCCATATATTTTCCGATCTAGGAATATATGCAATTTTGATCCCACCATTCTATTGAATCCAAGCTCGAACTTGCCACAGATCCACTTTCGAAGGGTTTAGGATGTTTTCGTTGAAATTCTGGCAGTCTGAGAGGACGATAGCCAATCCGCTTAAAGTATCCATATGGACACATTGCTGTTAACAAAGCTTTAACTTTCCCCTTTATTGGCGATGAGCAGAAGAGAGTACCAGCAATACCATCCACAACTTGTCCAAGGGTGTTTTTAATAACAACCATATATGCCACCTCCTGCGATTCCGATCTAAAGGATCCATCACCATGTATTTTCCAAAGGAAAGCACCAGGCGGTAGGCAAAGTTTAGACTGGTTCAAGGAATCCTGGAACTGTACAATGGGGAGTGTCGAGGTGGGAGGAATAATCCATTTTGTGAAATAGTGCACCACGTTAAAGGAAGTGATGAAGGCTCTCAGGAGGATACCCTTAAAAAGGTGCTCATTCAAAGTAATCAAGATAGCCCAAGGGCTTGCTGTGATT